ACTACGGCCAATGCTCTGAAATCTGCGGCTCTAATCACAGCTTTATACCCATTGTTCTCGAGCTAGTGCCTCTATCATACTTTGAAAAATGATCTGCCTCAATACTATAAATTCATTGAGAAGCTAAACAGCATTAACCTTTTAAGTTAAAGATTGAGAGCGCAAATCTCTCCTCAATGATATGCCACAACTAGACACTTCAACTTGATCTATCACAATTCTATCAATAATTATCACCCTATTCCTTATAATTCAAAGTATCGAAATACTATTTTCCAGAGAACCCCGAGCCAAAACTAATAACCACATCAAAAACCTATTACACCTTGAGAAGAAAAATGAACGAAAATCTATTTTCCTCTTTCATTACCCCTGTAATAATAGGACTTCCTATTGTCATCGCCATTGTAATATTCCCAAGTATTATATTCCCCTCACCTAATCGACTAATTAACAACCGACTCATCTCTATTCAACAATGATTAGTACAACTAACATCAAAACAAATGTTATCCATTCATAACCAAAAAGGACAAACCTGAGCATTAATACTAATATCTCTGGATATTAATTAGAATTCACTCTTGGTTTTCTACATTCTATGAGTTTAGACAAAGGTGTGTCCATGATTACGGTATCCCTCAGAGCAGTTACACTGCCCTAAAAAACCTGGTGCTTCCTCTTTTCATCCTTCTCTCCCTCCAACCCCTGGCAACCACTGATCTCTTTACTGTCTCCATAGTTTTGCCTTTTCCAGAATGTCATATAGTTGGGATCATACAGTATAAAGCCCTTTCAGATTGGCTTCTTTCATTTAATAGTAGAACTTTATGTTTTCTCCATGTCTTTTTGTGGCCTGATAGCTCATTTAATCGTAGGGTTGAATAATATTCCACTGTCTGGATGGACCACAGTTTATGTGTTCATTCACCTACTGAAAGATGTCTTGGTGGTTTCCAAGTTTTGGCAATTGTAAATAAAGCTGCTGTTATAAACATTTGTGTGCAGGCTTTGGTATGGACATAACTTTTCAGTTGATTGGAGCCAATACCAAAGATTGCTGGGTCACAAGGTTAGAGTATATTGAGTTTTGTGAGAAACTTCAAACTAACTTAAAAGTGCCTGTACCCATTTTGCATTCCCATCAGCCATGAATGAGAGTTCCTGATGCTCCACCTCCTTGTCAGTATTTAGTGTTTTCGGTGTTTGGGATTTTGGCTGTCTTTTTTTTTTTTTTTAACTTTTTAAAAATTTAAAGTCAACTAATTGACATATAAGCGTTATTGGTTTCAGAAGTAGAGGTCAGTGATTCATCAGTCTTCTATGCTACCCAGTGCTCATTACATCATGTGCCTTCCTTAATGTCCATCACCCAGTTACTCCAACCCCTCATCCTTGGATTTTAGCCATTCCGGTAGGTGTGTAGCGGGATCTCATTATTGTTTTAATCCCAAGATGTGTTTTCTAAATCATGTTCCACGGTGACTGCCCCAGGAGAAACCATGATTTTCCTGCTCAGCTGCAACCTTTCTCTTCAGTGTTAAAAGGAGAGCAGCTGATAGGAGAACAGGCCCTTGCATTTCTATCTAAATGTGTAGAAGGAGATAGCAAGGGGCTCCCCTCATTCGTACAATAGTCCATGTGCCCTGGAACCAGTGCCTGGACCTCACAGGCACTTCAGTTACATTTGTTGAAGGAATTCATGGGCGGATGAGTAAGGGAAGGGTAAGGATTTGATCTGGCCCCAACCCCATGCTTTCAATAGGAACAGCAGCCTTGGCCCAATTTCCCCCAAAAATCATCCTCCCAGCTCCCCACTGGACAGTGGTCCCATCTCTTGGGGACTGAGGCTGGCCTCCATCTTCAGGATGCCTCCTGTCCTGGCCATGCTGAGTTGGCTCCAATCATGGGACTGCACAGACTTAAGGGCGATTCAGGAAACATTTTGGGATTGGCAGGAGGTAGACCAGAGGGCTAAATTTGAAGTAAGGTGATCAGCAAATTAGGAGCTGGGTTGGAGATGATGCAGGGCAGCAGACGGTGCCCTTCTGGTGAAAGAATGAGACAGTGGCACCCAGAGGGAGCCCAGACCAGACCTCTTCCCTGGTAGCCTTCACAGCATGGATTTGAGGGGAGGCCAGGAGAGCTGCCAGGGCTGTACGTGGACCCCCATTCTGGTGGAGACTTGACTCCCCGACAGCCGAGGTGCAGAGCAGGGGGGACATAAGCAGACCAGCCATGGGGATCTAGAAAGCCTGAGCGTGTGGAACAAGGCAGACCAGTAGGCTGTAGGGGGAAATGCTTCAGAGGGTAGGTGGAAGGTGCTAGAAACGTCTTCCTTTAACCTCATTTATTAAGAAAACACCATTCAGGACATAGCTAGTATCAAGAAGAACTAACCCCATGTCCCAGGTAGTGGTAGGGGCCCTTCCCACTGCGGTGTCCTTTCCGGATGGGGCTGCCATTGATTCTCCTGACCCTGACCAGCTTCCCCTGCTCTTGATAAACTTCCTCTGTGGTTGCAAAGCTGCTCAGAAGTGGGGTGGTGGGGGAAGCTCCATTAAAAAAAAAAAAAAAAAGGAAGTAAGGGCCCACAAGGAGGAACCCGTGGGGAAGGAGAAGTTATACTTTCTTCTCAGAAGAGCAGTAGACTCTTGCTCTCTCCCCTTCTCTGCCTCTACTAACTCCTGGTTATCGTGTGTGCCCATGTGAGTACATGAGGAGCTGTCCCCATCCAGAGCTGTTTGTAAGCACAGGGGCTTGGGCACCAGGCTCCTAGTGGAAACTCATTTGCTGGAAAACTCTATCCTGCCCCAGTGGCTAACTTACAATTTCTGTCTTTCTCCCTACCTTGGACAGCGAATGTAAGAGGCAAGTTTTGCTTCACCATTTTCATGGGAACCCAAGGGGCAGTTTCCAGAAGAGTGTGTGTGTGTGTGTGTGTGTGTGTGCGCATGAGCACGCATGTGTGGTGGGGGTGGTGTTCAGGACAGACCCCCGAAGCCTACTCCAGAGCTTTCTCTTTGATGATGTCCTGAGAGTAAAAACCCAACCGCAGATTCTCCAAAGACATAGGGGTTGTTGAATATCAACAGGAAGACACCGTGGGTAAAGCAGGAACCAAGGCAGCGATTACCAGGGGCCTTGCACCCCTTTGGGCCAGCTAGTGAAGATGCTGGGCTCTGGCTTTGCCCCTCAAGGACTGCTTGTCACCCGAGTCTGGTTACATCTTGGGGAGGCTGGATCCAAGGATGTATCTGCAGAGAGGGACCTTTGGAGCTGGTGGACTATGGACCTTGGTCCCCAAGCAGGGTGACTCAAAGGCTATTAATCTGGCTCAAAGTTTATCCTCTCTGGGGGAAGTGGAATTTTTAGGCCCACCCACTGACCAGAGCCTTACAGCAAGTGAAAGTGGGAGAACGTTTCTCGTTGGCTGAAGGGCAAAGAGAGGGGATTCTCGCTTCCCGGTGGGGAGGGGATGTTCCGGCTACCATGCTAAGGACAGGGATTCCTGTCTCCTTTATCCCTTGGTGAGCCACCTTCCCATGGCTGCCTGAGGCTCAGAACCAAGGCCTACCTATGGGGGTGGACACGTCCTCCCAGGTGTTCCGAGGGAAACATTCCACATAGAACCAAGGGCTGGGGCACAGGAGAAAATGGGGTGCTATTGCTCAGAGGGCACAAACTTTCAGTTATAAGCTAGGTCTGGGTTTAGCATAGTGCATATAGCCTGATGACTATGGTTAGCAATACTGTGTTGTATACCTCAAATTTGCTAAGAAGGTAGATCTGAAGTGTTCATCTCACATCAAAAAAAAAAAAGAGATAAATATGTAAAATGATGGGTGTGTTAATGAACTAGGTTGTAGTGTTTATTTCAAGGGGTTTATATATGTTAAATCATCACTTTGTGCCCCTTTTAAAAAAGCACATTTACACCTTAAGTATATACAATTTTATTTGTCACTTATAGCTCAATAAAGCTGCAGGGTAAAACAAAGGGAAACATTCCAAATGGGTGTGTTTGTGTGTGTTTGCTTGTGGGTGGACACATCTCAAATGGGGGGTGTTCCTTCTTACGTGATGTGACAGTCCCTTTGGTGGGAGGATCCATGGCCCATAAGGTAAAGTGACCGAGTCCATCCAGATGGACAAACCAAGAAAAAGTCATTTATCATGACACTATTAATGATTAAGCTTATTTAAACAAATTAATTATTAAGATTATTAAAATATCATCATGTTGGAGAGACCATATCGTTTCCCTCAGACAGTTTTCCTGACTTCCCTCCCCAACCTTGAAGGAGTTTCTGAGGCCCAACTTGACTGGCTTACAAAAAAACCCTTATGTATCAGAAGTTCAGACAGAGTGCTGAGCTGGTCTCAGGAATGAAGGAGACCAGGGCGTGGGCAGGGCTCCATCTCTCTGTCTGTCTGCACCCCTACTGCTTCTCTCTGTGATTTGGTCGTTGGTTCTGTGCCCCAACTTCTTCCAGAAAAGAGGATGTGGCTTGGGTTCCACCCCAATAGCTCTGACCATGAGCCCTGGCCCCATGTTGGGTAGCATGGGGCATTTGCAACCTGAAGGAGTGGGAACAAGTCCAAGAAGCCATGAAACCTCAAGAGGGTGCTGAGTTGGGGCACCTGGGTGGCTCAGGGGGTTAAGCCTCTGCCTTCAGCTCGGGTCATGGTCTCAGGGTTCTGGGATCGAGCCCCGCATCAGGCTCTCTGCTCAGCAGGGAGCCTGCTTCCCCCACCCCTGCCTGCCTCTCTGCCTACTTGTGATCTCTATCAAATAAATAAATAAAATCTTAAAAAAAAAAAAAGAGGGTCCTAAGTTGTGTCCCTGAGCTGTGCAGAGCCAGGAGGGTGCCTGGCCAGCCCCTCAGCACCCCCAGCATCAGTCACCACTTCCCGAGGACCCAGAGGCATTTCTGCCACAGCCTGGGTCTCCTCTGGAAATGGGGTCCAGGAGTGGAAGGTTCTGCTCGTCCGTCTGTCTAAGGGGCTGTGTCTCTGACGAGATCAGAGGACAAGTTCATATAGATGGGCAGTCTCTGCTGAGACCCCTTCAACCAAAAGATAGCACCGACCAACATGAGCAAGACCGACACCTTCAGGAAAGCCAGGAGAACGTAGTGGTTCCTGCAAGAGAGGACAGAGCTGTCAGAGCCCTAGGCGCCCAGGCCCCGTCACTCCCTGCACCCTGACCGGAGGGAGCATTGGCCAGCCCTGCAAAGCCTGAGACTCTGGACCCGGAAGCCCCAGGCCAAAGACCGCCGTGGCTTTGGCTCAGTGGCTCAACCATGAGGGCTCCTCAGAAGGAACCTCACATTGTCAGTTTTGCTTGGCTCTGGGCCAACCTTCCTTTCTAATCGTGCCTCCTGCGTCTTCCCTTTCCTGAAGTGAGTCTCAGCACCCTGGGGTGGCCCACGACAGGCTCTGTGCCTTTGCTGCTCCTGAAAATGCCAGTTCCAGGTGGCTGAGCCACACTCCTACTCCGTGGCACCCAGCGCCTCGCATGGTGGGGATTTTGTCTTATCTCCCCTTGGCATGCTCTAGGTCATCAGGACTTCGTTGTTGTTGACAACTGAACATAAAGAAAGATTCTGGGGGTGCCGGGGTGGCTCTGTGGGTTAAGCCTCTGCCTTCGGCTCAGGTCATGATCTCAGGGTCCTAGGATCGAGCCCTGCATGGGGCTCTCTGCTCAGCAGGGAGCCTGCTTCCCCCCACCCACTCTGCCTGCTGCTCTGCCTACTGATGATCTCTCTCTCTCTCTCTCTGTCAAATAAATAAATAAAATCTTTAAAAAAAGAAAAAAAAGATTCTACAGAGTTGCTTTCTTGGGAGGTTGGAATGGGGAGATGGGGGGTAGGGGCAACATGGGCGGGAGCGAGTTGTTGGGGGGGTAGCGGCTTTTGGCCTTCACTCTGGCTGTGACCACTCTGGTGGCCTGTGAGGGTGCAGAAGCAGAGTAGGAGAGGCCCCAGGTAGGGGCAGGGTCAGGATGGCAGCCACTCACCTGATGTAGGAGTTGGATGTCACCCCTGTACGTCTGCTGGTAGTTGTCCTGGATCTTGGGCTCACCGAGGTGCTCAGAACCATGTCCACTAGACACAGGCAGAGTTGGCCACAGGTTATGGAGACAGACTGGGGCTCATGGGTGGCTCCCTGCTGGGCCCCCTTGGAGCCACCCTGCCCCTCGACTAGGAAGCCAGATACAGCCCCCAGGCTTCTCCCTTCCTGCTGACTTTTCTTTTTTTTCCTCCCTTCCTTCCTTCCTTCCTTTCTTTCTTTCTTTCTTTCTTTCTTTCTTTCTTTTTTCTTTTTTAAAGATTTTGTTTATATATTTTGGAGGGGAGTGGAGAGGCAGAGAGAGAGGGAGAGAATCTCAAGCAGATTCCATGCTGAGCACAGAGCCCGACACGGGGCTCAATCTCACCTCCCTGAGATCTTAGCCTGAGCCCAAACCAAGAGGCAGACACTTAACAGACTGAGCCAGCCAGGCGCCCTCTGCCCGAGTTTTCTGAACCACCACTCAGTCGCTTTCCATCAACTCAGGTAGAAATAAAAAGGAAACAGGAGCCTGTGCTGTATGTGCTTCTAGGGCAAGAGATCCATCTTTCCACTTCTCTCCACTTACCCCTCTAGGTGGGACTTCAGCCAGACAGGGGCCGGGGTGGAGCTGGGCGGGGAACATCATTGGTCCTAGAGCAGTGCCTGAGCTGGGCTCAAGGACACGTGGTTCTGGAAATGGGGCGGCCAGTTACTGGGGTGGTAAGGAGGAGGAGGAGGACTCTGGAGGGCTGGTGAATAAGAGGGCACATTCTGGTTCTATCGTGAGCAATGGCTATGATGAATTAAACATCTGTATGAGAAACTATGAAGACAATTTACGGTCGGCTACTTGGTCATGGATTCCTGAGACCGGCTTGGCACTGACTGTCTATGAGCTATTTTTTAGTTGAGTCCTAAGCCTGCGGAGACCCCAGGACAGACAGAGGGGTCCCTGATATTGGCATAATGGTCAAATCCTTCTTTTCTGCTTACAGCATCCTCTGTTACCTGAGCCCCTTCTTGGGTCCCTCTAACTCCTTGCTCACTCTTATGTAGCCAGGGAAAGTAGAGGGCAGGGTGGCTGGGGGCCCAGAGAGGAGAGGCACTGTCGCATGCCCAGAGCTACTCTGGGTTGGGCAAGTTCCTAGGGTTCAGTGCTCTGGGCTTCCCCAGGTATCCCCTCTGCCTCTCTCTGTGTAGTGATGGGTCAGGAGTGTGACTACCAGTGACCACTTCCTGGAGCCATGCCTTGGGACTCAAGGCATCCAAGGTCTACCCACACCTCTGATGAGAGACTGGGGGGCTGCCAAGGTTGTGGGTCCCCAGGACAGCTGGGCTGGACCACGGGCAACGATGCTGGGGTCCATGTTCCCACCCCTCCCCCAAGACTTGCCAGCCCTGCGTGCATCATCTAGATACCTCAGGTGACCTCAGGGACTGTGATGGGGACACTGTTCTCAGTTACTCAGCCATTTCTCTTCTGCCCTTGGGGAGGGGGAAGCGGAAACCCTCATTCTTTCTGTCCTAAGCAAGAGGGCCTCACTGTGTAGATGAGAAATTTCTTACCTGGGTCAATGGTCACTTTGATAGATGCCCCACGGTCAGTTCCATATCTGCTAATCCCACACCAGTAAGTGTCTGTGTCACTTTGCCTGACCTCCTCCATGGTCACTGTGAACAAGAGGTGACTCCGGTTGTCCCTGATGGACACACGGTCTACCTTCGTTTCTTGCTCTGATCCATCAGTTTCAACGAGGGTGTGGCATGACTCCCAGTCCGCTCCGCGACACCACCACTTCTTGTAAGTCTCCCATACTGGTGTATATTGACACTGCACGCTCACCGAGCCCCCCTCCAGGCCCCTCACGGACTCTGGGCCTTTGATGGAGAAACAGCCTGGAAAACAGAATCCTAAGATAAAACCCCTGCCTCCTGGAGCCAGGCCTGGCCTGGGAGCCCCAAGGGCTCAAGTGGCCCCAGATTGGTGTCCAGGGACTGAGCCAGGGTCCCGGCCTTTGCAGCTACCCACTAGCTGACCCCCACAGGTCCACCTCCTCTGTCCAGCTTCCCCATCAGCTCCCGCGGTGGACACTGTCTTTCTTGGCTTCAAAACTCGGTCCTCTTCCACTCTCTCTTCCTCCGACTGCTCATCTCTGAGGCTTCTACTGATTTCTCTTCCAAATCTCCATTTGTAACATTTTCCAATTTCTGTAGTGTAAATATTCCCAACCCGGGTCGATCTCAGGCAGTCGGTGCAATGTCACTGGACACACAGCTGAGAAAAGTCGGTTCTTGCCGGCCAGTGTGAACCAGTCCCAGAGCACTGTGGGAGGAGCTGAGGGGTCCCTCTCCGGTCCTCGTTTTGTCCCATCTTACTACACCCCTATGGAGGAATTCTCCCTTCCTATGATTTTGGCTATTGCCAACATGCTGATAATTCCCCAAATTCCCGTTCATGGCCCACATTCTTTCCTTAGCTCCAGCCTAGCGTTTCCAAATACACACCGTACATCTCTACCCCAAAGTCAGTGGTCCCAGGACTAAATCCTTCTTGAACTTGGTCTGTTTCAGTATTTCCTCTCTCTCCCTTGGAGAGCTCATGTGTTGCACTAGCAAAGGTCTGTGGGGAGTGGGATGGGTTAGGGGCAAGCAAGAGTTGGAAGGGTATTGTGCTGCTCTGGGGATTGACTCCAGTCAAGCTGAGTATATATGACTGGACAGACACTCTTTGTCCTTGGCAATGACCTCTTGTGCTTCGATTGCATGGAAGTGAAAAAGCAGGGAGAAGCAGAGAAACACAATAGAAGCCTCTCCTGACTGTCTTAGCCCCAGAGCCTCAGGATCAGCCCAGGGGGGTGAGGGGTTGTCTCCAGGGGGCCGCAGGAGTCAGGTCTGTTGCACCGGGAAGGTGCACCTCCTCATACCCTGTACCTTCTTCCTTTCAGGTCACTTGAGGTTTGCATTTTTGCTCAGTAGAATTATGTCTCCCAAAGATGTTGATGTCATAATCCCAAGAACATGTGAGAAGGGGTAATTATCCTGGATTATATAGTTGGGTCTAATGTCATCAGAAGGGTTCGTATAAGATGAAAATGAGTTAGTGTCAGAGTCAGAGGGAGATTGGAAGATGCTATGCTGCTGGCTTGGAAGATAGATAAAGGTATCATGAGCCAAGGAATGTGGGCAAACTCTGGAATCTGAACGAGGTGAGAACATGTTTCTTCCCCAGAACCTCCAGAGGGAATACAACCTTGCCTACAGTAGGATTTTATCCAAGAAGACCATTTTGGACTTCAGACTTTCAGAACTTTAAGATAATAAGTTTCATCATTTCAAGCCAGTTTGTGGTTTGTGGTCATTTGTTACAGCAGCCATTGGAAATAAACTCAGTATTCCATGAGCAGAACTAACTCTACTCTCTTCAAACCAATAGCGTTCCTAGCGCACCTGACAGAGAACTTGATATCTCCATTGATCCTGTCCTCCCCTTCTCCCTCTACAACTGATTGGTGAGCCCTTTAGTCGACTCTACCTCCAAAATGCTTCTTAAAATGATTTCTTTCTTTCCCCCCCTCCTGTCACAGTTCATGATGCCAGCATGACATAGCAGAAAGAGTGAATTTGGACAGAGAAAGTCACGTCTACCACACACTACTTGGGAAGACTTGGGTAAGCTACTTCACCTCCCTGGGTCTTGCTTCTCAATTTGCAAAATCGTTTCGCTACTTTCGAACTTTGCAGGTTGCTGTAAGACTTGGGTATGTGTCAAAACGCAGATCTTCTGGTGGGGGTTGCCCCCTCAGTGAGAGCCTCTCACCAGCTCAAGAGCCCATCTGGTGCCTGGATCATGGCCGTAGCACCCAGAGAAGCTTCTCCAGTTCCTGTTACACTCCCTTCTCCAGTATCCTCTGCATATCACTGTTGGAGTTTCATGCTAAAATAGTCCCCACCTTGTCCTTAGCAGCACTTGTCATGATCAGGATTTCAGGATCTCTTCTGCAGCCGCTCCCCACTGCCTCAGAATGATTTAAAATGCTTTTGTTGGACTTCCAACTTTTTTTTCTTCTAAATCCAAGTTCTCTGTCCAGCACCATTTCCTGCTCCCCCTTGCCTTCCACTGGATCCTATAACCCCCACCCCCCACTTTTCTTTTCTTCTGACCCTGGTAGGCCCTCCCAAGAGCTATGTCACTGCTCCCACCCTTCCTTCCACTTCTCTGAGCCCAGCCTGCCTACTGATCACCTTAATTCCTTTCCCAACTAGAACTGCTTCCTTCCATTGCTCCATGACCTCACAGGAACCTGAGTGCCACACTGGTATTTTATTACCACTACCAGTCTCTCTCTGTCTCCTTTACTAGGATGCTCTGTCCTGAAGGGAAGAGACTTTGGGTGTGCATTCTCCCTCTTCCCCGTCACCAGTCCCCGCGTCTTGCATGGTATCTGGATCCTGGAAGGTACCAATAAAGTTTATGATCATTTTTGCAAAGGAGCTTGCTGTCATGCTCTGGGACATTTTGATTTGATTTTGGACATTTTGATTTGACATTCTGATTCTGGCATGAACTATAATTTCCACACCAGGGGGCACTGAATTCTAAGGCTGCTAATTACAGTGCTAACGTAAAACACAGTAGAGTCTGGAAACAAATTCAAACACCATTACTGGGAGATTGGGCTAATAAATTACCGTCCTCGCATATCATGGTTAAAAGAAGAAAGATCACAAATAATAACAGGGAAGACATCCCAGAGACATCAGTATTAAGTTTTTAAAAAGTTGCCTAACAGAGTGTTTGGATTCCATTTCTGTGGTTCTTCCATGGCCCATGCATAGAAAAAAATAGGTCAATGAGTCTTCTAAACTCTTGACAGTGGTCAGTGCTGAACCTGGGACTTGGGAGGAAATTTCCCTTCCTAAATCATACGTTTCTATTATGTGTAAATGTTCACAATATCATTAACTGATAAAAAAATGAGGAAGAAAAAATTTTAATAATCAAAAGGACCCCATTAGGAAAAAGATTGCTAAGAAACAGTAATCAGTGTCAATTAAAATGAAATACAATAGTTGGCAGAAAAGGTGGTTTTCTTTCTTAAGACAATAGCAATGACACAGCTACCCTCCGAAACTGAGGGTCAGTGTACATGGTATTTGCCAAAAATCATAAACAGAATTAGAGATGTTGCTGCTCTGAAACAGAAGTTTCATCAATCCCAACTTTGCTAATTTAATCTTGCAATAAAGCATTCATAATGTGATTAGGCTTGTTTTAGAAAGAAATACATGCAAAGTTTTCATAAACACAGACTGTGATGGGTGGAACTATTAATCAGGTCCGTGTGTTTTGTGGAGAGTTGGTCCGAAGGAAGGTGGAGATGTTAGGACAGCAGTCAGCTGGGAGCAGAACTCGGGCTGATGAGTTTTAAAAGCATAAGGCTGTTTGAATCTCAATTTTTCCTTTCCCTGACTCTGAGATATAACCTCTCTCCTTCATGTCAGTCCTTCGGGAAATTCTGCCCCATGTGCACATCCTTGTGTGAATAATCTTGTGTCAAAGTCAAGAGAACAGTTGAGCTCCCGGTCTGGGTTGATAGCTTCCTGTCTGGGTTGATAAATCCCTGTCTGCTTTAACAATTTCCTGTCTGGGTTGATAGGTCCCTGTCTGGGTTGATAGCAAGGCAGCCAAGGGGAGGGCTCAGAGCAGAGGGGCTCATGGGGTGTGGGATGTACAAAGGGGTTTGAATTTACCTTGTTTTGCACTGATGGAGCAGGGCGTCCCTGCTGGTGTCCCCATGCAGCCATGCCATCTCAAGCGCCCAAGAGTAATTTCTGGGGTACAGGTCTCTGCTCCTGTGCCCCCACTTGCAAACATTCCCTGAGCACCCATCGATGTCAGTGGCCTGCCTTAGGGCTGCTGTGGGACTGGGTACCAGAGCCAACAAGAACGACTTATGGGCAGTCGGGTCTTTCCAACTTCCCTCCATCCACTTTCTCTCCTTTTCATTTCACAGAAGAAATCCCAGAGCATCTGAAGGCCGCCAGTTAGTGGGGTGGCTTTCCTTGCATCACTGACTACTTCACCCCTTTCCATCGTGAAATGGCAGAGTTGGAGGAGGAGGGACACCCTGTCTTGTTTCTGTGGCCAAAGCCACCCTGTCCAAAGCCACAGAGTAGCCACTGTGAGTCTCAGCCTGCATCTGGGGGAGAAGACTCTTTGTGTGGGTCTGTGCATATAAGGGACACTGTGTGTGAGTGTGTGTGTGCGCACATGAGTTTGTGTCAAACTCTGTAGGAGTGTGTGAGCACACAGATGTGAATGGGGGACATGAATGCCTGTGGGTACGTGCATCTGAGTCCACTGTGTGAGTGCCTTGTGTGTGGGAGCTCAGGCAGTTCACCCTTCCCCTTGGCCTCTGGGTGAGCTGGGTGTTGGGATTAAGAGAGGGAGGAGATGGGGCTCTTTGAGCTCAGATGCAAAGCTAGAGTACAGGGGGAGAGGCAGACATTCTGAACTGCTGTCCCTTGGGAATTCTGGGCGTTTGGAGTCCTGCCTAAGGACCATAGTGGTCACAGAGAAGCCACTGCCCTCCCCACCTATCTACAGGTAACATCACAGGGCCTCTGTCACGATAAAATCAGAAATGGCCTTGATAATTTGAGAATGACCAGAGTCCTTGTCTATTTATATCTGATCTGAATAGCAGAGTCTCCCAACATTACAGCTAGAAAGAGCATCAGAGACCTTCCATTCATACCAGAAATCCAGGTCTTAGAACAAGGAGGGGGCTTGCCTGTGTCATGTGCTGCTGTCAGAACTGGAACTCCAGTCTCTCAACTCCCTGGTTATGGCCTTTTTGGGGAATCCCTGTGGACCAGTTTGTTTTGCTAGAAGGTCTGTCTCCTGGCTGATAGACAAGACTGTGTGTGACCCACATGTACAACATACATTGTGCAAACTTTTGGACTAACCTTAATGCTCTCTCAGTGTATGCAGTGGCTTTCCACAGAGAAGATACATGACCCCCTCCCATCTCCCATCTGGGTTCCTGAGCAATTTTCTCTTTGAAAGTCTCGGTTCCTGGCCTTGGTGTCCAAGAGCCTTCTTCATCTTGTCTTGTGCTTTTTCAACCTCATGGCCAACCAGTCACCCCAAGACCTCCTGCACACTGAGACCCTTTGTGCATGAATGTACCATCATTTCTCAAGGCTCTGTGTCTTCGTCAAGCAGTCCTCTCTCCATGGAATGTTCTTCTCCCTTCTCTGTTTGAAGGGTTGATCAGATGGATGGTGTCTGTATGGGTTTCTGCAGCTCCTTCAGCCAGACCTGCTCAGGCCTCTGAGCACCCCTCCATCAATTCCTGCCATTGTTTGTTCTTTACCTGCAAGTCTTACCCTCTGAGCTGTCTGGGGTCCCCTTTCTAACGGCTAATCCTGTTTCTTTTTTCCCTTCAAGTCCTCAGGGCCTGGTGAATGCCTGACACAGAGTAAGAACCCATTTTTTTTTTTTTTTTTTTTGCTTAATAAATTTAAAAAAACACATCTCATTTCCCCAGAAATCATATCCCCTCCTGCCTGGACTAGCTCTTGGTCCTCTGCCCTGCCACAGGGGTACCAAGTCCCCAGAACCCCTCCACACTCACCTGGGAAGCTGAGCAAGAGAACTAGCCACAGCCTCATGGCATCACCTCCCAGGCTCCTCGCCCCTCTGCGGACAATGGGAGAGCACACTTGGATCCCAGGTGGACTCTCGCAGCTCTGCCTGAGCCCAAGCTTGCACTTTGAGTTTCTGGCCCTTTGAGTTTCTGACCCACTCACTTCCTTTTGTAGAGTATTTCCTCCTTTTAATTATTCAACAAATTGAATGTCATTTCTTGAAAGGGATGGGGCACAGGGGACAGAAGTCACCACTACATAAGAAAGAGGAAACTAGGCTGTTTGGTGTGGGGAGGGGCAGGATATGGGTCTGCAGCAGGGCTAGAGCAGGGGGCATCTGGTCTACCAGGCTTTGTGTCCAAGGGGTACAATAGTCTGGGTGTCAACTCCAGAAATGTTTCTCTATCACAACAGTTCCCAGCAGCAGGGAACACGTGAGCAAGCTTGGCTTACCTGGAGATGCATTTGTTCAGGTGTTATAACCAAGGGCATAAAAGTGTCGGCTGGAGAGTCAGACACACCTGGACTCTCATTCTGAGCACCACTCACAAGCTGTGTGACTATGGGCAATTACTGAACTTCTCTGAGCCTCACTTTGTATATCTGCAAACTGGGCTGTGATGGAATAACAGAAGAGTTGTTATGGGAATGAAGTGAGAAAATGTATGTGAAGCTCTGAGATCACAATCCTGGGATAGGGCTAGCACTCTACATCAGTATCAGTGCCCGGGGCAAAACTTCACATGCTGGATGAAGAGTCACAAAAAGCAAGCCCAGGACAGGAGGCCAGGAAAGAGAGAAGGCGATGGGCTGGGTTTCCTCATGAGTAATAAGGCAAATTCTAGCCCTAACCTGACGTAATTTAATTAGCATCCTGATTTATAACCCAGTAGCTAAAATTCTTGAAGAACAGTTTTGGGAAGCAGATGAGTATCTGGCCTGGTGTCCAGGCCGGGCTGCAGAGGAAGGAGGTCTTCCTGGAGGTCTTGTTTGGGGGAACATTCAAAAGGCTGAGAGGAGGAGGAGGGCTCAGTCCTGTAGTGACGCAAATCATATTACAAGTAGGAGTCAAAACAGTATGGTACTGGCATTAAAAAAACATAGATCAGAGTTGGGGGTACCCGGCTGGCTCAGTTTCAAGAGTATGTATCTGTTGATCTTGTGGTTGTGAGTTCAAGCCCCATGTTGGGTGTGGAGATGACTTAAATAAATACAATTTTTTAAAAACCATAAGCCTATAGACCAGAACTGAAAGCCTACAAATAAGTTCCCACACATAAAGTCAGTTAATATTTGACAAGGAAGCCGAGAATAGCCCATGAGGGAAAGTATAGTTCCTTCAAGAAATGGTGATCAGAAAAGCGGAGAACCATTTGCAGAAGAATGAAACCGGGCACATACAAATATTAACTTAAAGTGGATTAAGACTTAAATTAAGACCCAAAACTGTGACCCTTATAGGAGAAAATAGTGGAAAAGCTCCTTGACATTGGTCTTGGCAATAATTTTTAGGTGTGACACCAAAATTGTAAGCAATGAAAGCAAAATTTAATTAGTACGATGGCATCAAATTAAAAACTTGTGTACAGCAATAGAAACAATTAATAAAATAAAAAACCTACAGAATGGGAGGAAATATTTGCAAATCATGTATCAGATAAGGGGTTAATATCTCAAATATATAAAGAGCTCATACAACTCAAAATCAACAACAACAACAAAATAACAATTCCTATAATGTGATTGGTCTCATTAAAAAAAATACATATATATATATATATATATATATATATATATGTCAGGGGTCCCTGAGTGGCTCAGTCAGTGAGATGGCTGACTCTTCGTTTTGACTCATGTCACGATCTCAGCATCCTGAGATCGGGCCCCATGTTGGGTTCAGCACTCAGAAGGGAGTTTGCTTGAGGATTCTCTCTCTCCCTCTCCTTCTGCTCTCTCTCTCATAAATAAGTAAATCTTTAAAAAAAATAAAAAATACGTGGGAAGTTTTCATAAACACAGACTGTGATGGGTGGAACTATGAATCAGGTCCATGTGTTTTGTTGAGAGTTGGTCTGAAGGAAGATGGAGAGGGTAGAATGACAGTCAGCTGGGAGCAGAACTCAGGAACAGGGCTGATGGGTTTTAAAGGCATAAAGCTGTTTGAATCTCAATTTTTCCTTTCCCTGACCCTGAGATGTAAACTTTCTCCTTCATGTCAATCCTTTGGGAAAGTTTGCCCCAACTGCACCATCCTTGTGTGGCCAAAGGCAGTCAAGGGGCAAGCTCAGAGCAGAAGGGCTCATGGCAGTGTGGGATATGCAAAGGGGTTGGAGTCTACTTTGTCTTGCACAGATGGTGCAGGGCATCCCTGCTGGTGTCCCCATGCAGCCATGCTGGCTCAAGAGTTATTATTGGGGTACAGGTTTGTGCCCTGCTCTTCTACTTGCAAATGCTTGCTGAGCACCTACTCACCAACTCTTTTAACCAGGTTAGAGTTCCCCTAACAGTGCACTTGGGTTTCCATTCCTCCACATTCCTGCCAATGCTTGCTCTCTCTTGTCATTTTGGTGATAGCCATTCTGACAGGTGTGAAGTGATGTCTCATCATGGTTTTATTTGCCTTTCCGTGATGATGAGGGATGTTGAGCACTTTCTAATGTACCTGTTGGCCATTTATATGTCTTCTTTGGAAACTATTTAGTTCCTCTGCTGATTTTTTTTAAGAGAGAAAGAGAGAGAGAGAGAGAGAGAGAGCGCCTGAGTGGAGGGGAAGAGGGATAGGGAGAGAACCTTAAGCAGATTCCACGAGCTCAGTGTGGAACTTGATGAAGAGCCTGACATGGGGCTTGAGCTCATGAGCCGAAATCAAGAATTGGAGGCTTAACCAACAAAGCCACCCAGGCACCCTTCTCTGCTCATGTTTTAACTGGATTGGTCAAAGGATACAAACTTCCGATTACAAGACGAATACATTCTGGAGACCTAACATATAGCATGAAGACAATAGCTAATGATATTCTGTTATATACTTGAAAGCTGCTAAGAGAATACATATTAGATGTTCTCACCACGAAAAAGAAATGGGAGTGATGTGGCGTGGTGGCGATGTTAGCTAACCCCTCAGTAGTAATCAGTTCGCAATATATATGCATCAAATCAACATGACCTACACCTTCAGCTCACATAATGTTATGTGTCAGTTATATCTAAATAAAGCTGGAAAAAATAAAAATAAAAGTAAACTTGGGAGGGGCGCCTGGGTGGCTCAGTTTTAAGCATCTGCCTTCAGCTCAGGTTATGATCCCAGGGTCCTGGGTTCGAGCCCCAAATCAGGGTCCCTGCTCAGCAGGAAGCCTGCTTCTCTCACTCCCACTCCCCCTGCTTATGTTCCCTCTTTCACTGTGTCTGTCTGTCAAATCTTTTTTTTAAAAAATGTAAACTTGGGGACTGCTAAAAAATGTAAGTATATAGATTGAAAATATATATGCATATATATGGCAAACCCATGAAGAAAACAAGGAGAACATGAATGTAAGATTCACACTTGGTTTCCTCAGAGGGCAGTTTGGGACTTCAGAAATATTAATGATGTTTATTACTTAAGCTGTGAGGTGGGCACCCAAGGGTTGAAGAGTATTTGGGCTGTAAGGAGTATGCATTTATTAGGAACATTCTTTGTGTCTATGAAAGATTGCAAGGAAGTTACAAAAGAGTTTACAGAGTATTCGGAATGAAGTAAGGACGGTGGCTGGAGGTGTCGGTCAGAAGGCCATTCCCATCCATCAGATGGGCTGTGTTCCTGGGCGGGTCATCGATGGGCAATTGGTGTTACTGATTTTAGTTATTGGGCTGATGCCGCCTCCCCACCCCAGATCCCCTCTGAGGCCTGTTCCCTCAGAGGACAGCACTGAGCATGCTCAGGACCAGGGGCACCTCCAGAAAGACCAGGAGCCGGAAGTAGATGCTGCTGAGAAGGGACCTGTGGGGGACAGTGACAGGCAGTGAGCCACGTCCTCGGGGAGATGCCCTGGTACCTTCCACTTTCCTTCTGTCCCTGTGCCCATGTCCTGAGGCTACAATAGTCCACACAGAGATGAGGCCCAGGTGGGTCCATGGGCAGGACAGCCCCACATAACAGATACTCCCGTGACCCTCAGGCTAACAATTGCCCTTGAGATAGGACTTTGAACATGGAGAGGGCCTGGCTATTGGAGTGACATAAGGGAGATCACAGGGAGCAGGTGGGACCTTAGATAGAACCTAGGAAAAGGGTTCTATCTAAGACCTCCCCATTGGGGCTTATCCTATATGTGGACTAGAAATCAGCACTAGGTTATTTGTCTAATGTCTGCTCTCCCATACACAGTAGTTCCCATGAGGGACTGGAAGTGTTTGCTTTAGTCCTAGGGTCCATCTGGCACCTGTGTGGTGCCTCCAAACCTTACCCTTGAGATTCAGTGGTTAACGATGGAGGGAACGAATGACCCCACTCACCTCTCCTCTCCCTTAGAAGCCTGGTCTTCAATAGGATGACTCCTAGGTGAGGGCCTGTGGGGTGGAGAGCAGGGGAGAGACTGCAGGGGCCCCCAGAACACCTGGCCTGGGCTGGAACCTGAAGGACCCCTTTGCACAACACTGGCATTTGTCTTCCCCATCCCCGGAGTCCGATTTCTGCAGATACCTGAGTGCGGGCTCCCCCAGTCCTACAGGTCTCCAGGGAAATGTCCGTCCAGGACTCACTGGCCAGAACTCCCTGATCATTGCGTATTGAAGAACAATCCCGCCTCCCATCACTCCCCACACATGCTCTCCCCCACCCATCTGTCCTAGTTCCCCCAAGCACTCATCATGAGCTGGCATTTCCTCTATTGATGAACATGTTGACTTCTTCACTGTGTGAATTTCCCACCTTTTGTCAGAGCCGGACTGTGTCTCAGTGGCCCCGGGCTGTATCCCTAGAAGAGGGCCTGGCGCTTGGTAGGACTTCCACAGTGAGGTGTGGAATTGGTACATAAGTGTGGGACCGAGGCCACGACAATCACACCCACACACCTCAGCCCCCCGTGTTCCCCAGAAATCACCCAGCTGTCAAAGGTCTCCAGGTGCTAGCCCCTTACCCAGGATGTTGGCTGGAACTGGGGGACTCCTGCGAGATCGTGGTCTTCTGCATGGGGTCTGGCAGGGTCGAGTGAAGACCTGTTGTTGATGAGGGAGGAGAAGGCAGGCTGAGGACAAGCCAAAGCTGACACGCCACAACCCCACCCCCCATACTCCTGGGTGGGACAGGTGACACTACTCCAGGAACTTCCCAGCTGTCTTCATGGCAATGCCTTTCTAGAGGGAAAAAGAACCCTAACACTGACAATGGCAAGGCCTCCAGTATCCTGTGAGTCTTCTTTATCACACGAAAAGCCTTCTGAAACCTCCCCCTTTCCTTACCTCCCCAAACTTCCAAGTACACAATCAGCTGTCCCTCACAAGCCAGACAGCAGCTCTTTCTGCCCTGGGGTCCTGTCCCTGAGCTTTAACGAAACCACCATTATTGCACCGAAGATGTCTCAAGGATTCTTTCTTGGTTGTAAGCTCTGGACCCCACCCCACCAAACCTCACCCATATTCCAAAACCATATCAAGGGTGCTGGGGGGGGCTCACAGAGCTGGAGGTTGCAGTGCTGGCTGGGGTGGGGGGGAAGCACACGTCAGGCCTGCTGTCCTCCCCCAGGCTCTCCCACTCTCTGTCAGCTGTGTGGCTCCGACTCACATAGTCCTGGTCACTCAGGCCATCTGGACAGGCATCCGGGCTCCACATCTGCCCACAGCAACACCCAGGCCTGCCTGAGACTCCGGCCTCCCTGGCCCCCTCTGCAGGTGCACCCTGGCCAGGTGGGCGATTTCAGAGGCAGAGCATCTCCCAGCAGGGCATGGGGCAGTGTGTGGAAGGAGCTCAGGGCTCTGGGCTCAGCCACCCGCCCCTGGTTTCCCCTGGCAGAGTATGGGTTGAGCTTTCTTCTGCAGAGATTGATCCAGAGCTGGGGGTGGGGCCGGGTCCTCAGGGAGGGCTGATGTCTAGAGTGAGGATCATGAAACAGAACCCCCACATTAGGGTCTGGGGCTCCTTCTTGGGCCCCTGTCGAGACTGCTGCAGACCCCCAGGATCACAGCTGTGAGGCTGGTGCTCAGGAGCCATCCAAGACACAGTGATGTCCTGTTAGAGCCCTGGGGTCCTGGGCAGCCAGTAAGGGAGAGGAGCCAAAGCCCTAGGGTCCCTTTCCCCATTGGGAGGACAGAGAGACGTCCAAAAAGAGGCTCAGGACACTTTCAGCATGGAGAGGACCCTTGTCAGGACAGGAAGGCAGATAGCTGTCCCCACACTCAGGGCCATTCCCACTGCCCACCCTGGGAGAGCTTTAGGTATGAGAGTGTGACAGGGCGGGGCACACTGAGACGCTTAGGTCAGCTAGAGGTGTGCATGTGCTTGTGTGAGTGTGCAGACAACACAATACCTGCACACACACTTAAACATGCAGACATATACACAGACCAAATGCACGACACATGTACACACACACACACACACACACACACACACACAAGCACACCCCCAGTATCCTGTGTCACCCAACCATCCTCACCCCGCTCTTCTATCCCATGTCCCACCACTTTCCTGACAGGGTCGGGGTGATCAGCCCCAGTCTCAGGCAGCTGGTGCTGGTGTCGGGGGAGGGGTGTGCACAGCTCACCTGGGGTCACAGACAACACAACTTGGAAGTTGAGGTCAAGCAAATATTCTGGGAGCCATGATGTATCGATTCCACACCGGTATGTTCCTGTATCACTTTCTGTGAGGTTCTCCAAGGTCACTGTGAAGGTGAGGTTTGCAGGACGGTCCCTGATGGACAAACGGTCCTTCCTCACTTCTATGTCTGCTTCTTTGGTCACCACAATATCCCCCAAGCATGGGCTTTTGCACCAATACTTGGCATTCTCTCTGAATTCCTCTCCGTACTGACACTGCACACTCAGGGATCCCCCCACGGGGCCTGTCACGGAGGTGGGGCCACGCAGAGACCAACAACCTGGAAAACACAGCCAAGTGTGACCCCTCAACAGATGGGCCTGGGTCAAGGGGATCTGAGGTCAAGGTGACCATCGAGTCCCTGAAGGGCCCTAGGGGTCTGGAGGAGGCCTTAGCAGGAGACAGGCCTTCCTGAGATTAGAAAGCAGATGTACCTTCCTTCTCACAGAGTGGACCAAGGCTTCCTTGGTGTGTCTTGGGGTGTGTGTGTGTGTGTGTGTGTGTGTGTGTGTGTGTGTGTGTGTATGTGATGCACTTAGACCTTGTTTCTGACTGTGACACTACAATAATGGTGGTCACAGGAGCCCCTCCACTCAGGGCTGTTCTGTCCACTATATTGGAGATGACTCACCTGCTTTATGCACTGAATCCTCCTGGTCGTTTCTAAGGCACTGCTGGCCGATCCGAGAATCTTCTCTGCTCTCCCTCCTCCCTCCCACGTCCTTCTCCCCTCCCCTGCCCCACAACCCCATCCCCCTGTCTCCCTCCCTCCCACCCAGGGCAGACTTCCCTGCCAAGCTCAGCCCCGCTCACCTGGGACCTGCAGAAGGAGCAGCGCTGCAGGCAGCCACAGCCTCCTGTCCTCTGGGGTCATGTCTGTAGCACAGACGTCACCCACAGAAATGCCAGGCTCGTGAGGCGGGATAATTTCAAGCCTCCTCACAGAGGGTCCTCTCTGCAGGGCCCACTTCTTCTTTCTGGGGTCTCTTTGCTTCCTCGTCCTGCCTGTGTTTGGTCTCACGATCTTCTTCCACGCTGACTCAAGCTGGTTGGGGTGCAGGAAGCTTGGGGACAGAAGCAGAAAAGGCTGAGGCAGAATCCTGGACCTGGTGCCCCGGATCCACTCAATCTCGATGACAAGACAGCTCCTGGTCCAGGACTGGATTGGGATTGCTGTCCCCTTCCACAGCCAACATCTGCTCCTCTCACTGTCCACACTCGCCCCACAAATGGAGCAACACGGGAGCATTTCCTGCTCAGTGGAATGTCCACAACCCTGTGATGTGTCACTTCCTTCTGGTCAGGATGGACCATGTCCGGGGTGGAGCCCCCAGCAGCCCATATTCTCAGGCACCAGTGGTGACCACAGTGGTGTTAGGACCCCCCAGCCTGCAGCTCCAAGCACCCACAGTCCCCATGAGACCCTTGCTCTCCTCTGGCCACACAAGTTGACACTGTGACCTCTGATGCTTTCAAAGGTTCTATTTGGGTTCTGGGTTCCGAACCAGGGTACTAATTCCCCAGGTGTGCTTCCCTCCTGTGTGTTTCCCTGTTCTCAAGACACGGACAGGGAACAGCCATCACCAGTCCCATGTGCACCTCATTTTGACTCCTTCTTGTTTGGAATGTCCACCCTACTGTGACTCTCAGGGCAGAGGACTGCCAATGGACAAGAGGGTCCAGAGACTGAAGGAGCTGATGGGACATTGGGGACATGTGAAGCTGAGACTGGACTTTTTCTCTCCATCCAGTGGCAAGAGGAGCCATTGTGTAAGAAGAGGATGGTCTGACAAAGCACTGGCTGCCGGTGTCCATTTTGGGTTCACATGGTGACCGGGGGCTTCTTCCAGGAGTAGAATTGGGGGATGGTCCATGCCAGGAGGTGGGGAGGTGGGTCTGTCCTAACTCAGAGTGGCTTGTTCTCATGACATGATGGGTTTGGGGTGGGTTTATTCTGGAAATGGTAAAGAGGTGGGTCACAGTGAAGGGCCTGACATCTTGCCTGGGTTATGCCAACTCCTCAAACTTGACATGCACAACCAGGTCAATCAGTTTCCCCCTAAACACTCTCTTCCCAGATCTGTTTCTCCTCCACACTGTCTTATCCTGATCTAAGGCCACAGTATTCCCAGAGTTATTGCAACCAGACCCTGTCATCCGGGATTCCTCTCTCTGCCTCTCCCCATTATTATTTCTTCTAGCATCTCCATCTGCCCATATACTCTCTTCCTCCTGACATTACAGCAATCCTCTCTTCTCTCAGTGTAATAGTGCCATCCCTGTTCCTCTGAGTCCCCTTGTGCTTTGTCCTCCCTCTGTTCCACTCATCAGCAAGAGAGCTCTTCAACAAAACTCAGAAGTAGCCAGTACACCCTTGGTGCCATGTCCTTCAGATGAAACCCTCTCCCGTGCTTGGCTTGCATGGTCTGAGTGGCCCAGCCACTGCTGGGTTCTGCATTTCTATCTTGCTCCCCCACCACAATGTGCTCCATGTTTTATCCACTGTGCCCACCCTTCCCCAGGGCCTTAGCACCTGCTTGTCCCACTCCTTGGATCCTCTGCCCACCTCTTCACAGTGCTTCCTCCTTCTTACTTTTTAGATTGCACCTTGGATGTACTCCCTTAGAAAGGCCTCCCCGATCACTCTTCCTAGGGTCACCCTGTTGTCTCAATCACCAACCCCTGTTTGTTTCCTGCATAGTTCACTGAATCTTGTCATATGTTTACTCTTGGTAGTCTCTGTGCATCTCCACCACTGGGATAGAGCTTATATTATATCAGCATTCTGGGTCTGCTTCATTCTTCACACAATGACTCAGTGGCCAACTGCACTTTGTGACCAATGGTTGACTTCTGATAACTGTTCATAGAATGAGTGAATGAGTGATTGAGTCAATGAATAAACGCTACATTGGCTGCAGACATGGGCCTAGACAACTGTGGTCCAACAAGATGCAATATCTATGGTGGTATAATGAATTCCCCCAGAACTTGGTGGCTGAAAACAGTATTTATTATCTCACACTTGCTGAGAGTCACAAATCTGAGAGTGGCTTATCTGGGTGGTTGTGGCTCAGTGGGTCTCTTTCACAATGGTGTGGTCAAGATGTTGACCAGACTATACTCATTGAAAGGCTGGACTGGCCTGAAGGATCTGCTTCAGAGATGACAGTCCACCTGGAGGTTAGCAGGAGTCCTTATCTCCTTGCCCAATACAACTGCTCAAGTGTCTTCATGAGGTGACATCCAGCTTCTCCCACGGAGAGTGATCCAAGAAGAGCAAGGCACAACATATTTATGATTTATCCTTGGAAATCGTGTACCATTGTTTCTGCCATATCTGGGGACTACAACCCACCCTGACACAATATAGAGGACCCCTGCCAAGGGATGTGGATATCTGATCTGAGTGGAAGCTATGAAAGGATATGATTCCTAAAATATCAGATATCTGTGTATTTATATTTGTGCAATTTCCTTTGCTTGATTTGGGTGTAGGTGTAGATGTTCATTGGTTTTCTGTCATATAGCAAGGAGTTTCCGTAATCTTCCCCGCAACTAGTTACCCTGCCTAAAGCTCAGACACCAATAATCTAACCAAAAGCGTATTTTGAGAGATGATATCAGGATGGAATGCAGATTCCTCTGGTTTGACTGCTCAAGTGCCTTTCCCTCAGACCATGATGCTGGCAGGCAGAGAGTGGCCAGCAACCAGCAAGAGGGAGAAGCACCATCTTCAGACCCAGGAGAGGGTCTGCAGAATGAGAGTGTTTGTCAGGCAGCTGGTGGCCATTGTAACACATACTGGGAAACTTGACAAGAACTCACAGTTTCTTCAGTCTTCTCAGCCCACCACTTTCTCTTCCATCTCCCTTTCACTTCCTGTTGCATCTTCCTTTTCTAAAAACTTGAGTTTCTACAGCTCCTCGCTGAGCTGAGAAGTTGGAAGACCTACCAGGTGCACAGAGCAATTACAACAGAGATTTGACTTCAGGTTTAAGTCCTCAGTGTGATGGTTCACGTTATGGGTTAACTGTCCATGGGTGGCTCAGATGGAAGATGATCTTGGGTGTGTCTGGGAGCATGTTTCTGGAGGAGATGAGTCTTTGAATCCGTGGACTCAGTGAGGTAGGTGCCCTCTCAGCAGACTTTTGCTTTGTGAAGCTCTCAGCATCTGGAAAAAAGAGGGATGTCAAAGTAGGGTTACAAACATTCTGGGCTATTTGAGAGTGGGAAGAGGTAAGTGCTTGGCTTGGGTCCCAATGTTAGCCAGGAGGATGAAGAGCTCCCCGGTCAGCCTGCACATGGAGCCTCAGTGTCCCCAGTCTCTGACAGTGTCCTCATGGGCACCAGCTTATCTCTAGGACACCGGGAAAGATGTCTGAGCTGTGTGCCCATGGCCTTTGGGCGTGCTCATGAATCAACTTTTGGACATGCAAGTGGTCATAGGACATAATTAATTGGTCTAGAAAAATGACTCCTGAATCACAAAGTTAGTTCACTTGTGGTTGGTTGGAATAAGACACATGTAGAAATAGCAGGATGAACATCTAAGTCAGTGCAACCCTGTGATTGTATTGATAATTCAATTTAGACATAATGTTAAAGATGACTTTTGAAGCTGTTAATGGGAGGCCAGGCCAGAGCCAAAGGGCAGACTTCTCTCCCTGCACTGCAAGACGGACCCTCCCACCCCAACCTCCTGCCCATTTCTGCCCATCTTCTTGGTCCTGGCACGATGTCTCCTTGTTTCCCATCCCCTTAGCCACCTTTTCTTAGACCTTGCTGGCATGGACCCCAGGGAGTCCTTGAAAGAGCTGCTTCCCTCACTTCTGGACAATAAGAGGAAGCATCACCAGATGTTGCCATATCAAGGTCCATGTCAGCTGACCGTGGTCAGGAGGGGGCACTGGGTCTATCGACCTCTTCCAGGGAGTACGAATTCCAGAAGAGCCATGGGGCACTGCTTCTCAATAAAGCTGAAGTGCTGGGCTAGAGTCCGAGGTGTCCTGTCTTTCTGCCTGGTTCTGTACCCTTCCTTGTGCACAGGTGGTGAGGGTCCTGACTTATTCTCGTCTGAACTACCCTTTGGGCTCCGGACCCCTGCTTGCATCTTGAGCTCTGGACTGTGAATGTCTGGGTCCACCTCTAGTTGAGCCCAAGGGAGACACAGTGATTCACAAGCCAACAGCTCAGGCTGATGCACAGGATGGGGCTTGAGGAGGGAAGCAAGCTATAGGACTGAGCCGGAGGAGGAAAGGTCATCAGGATACAGTGGGTTTAGTTCTAACCCCTGGGGTGGCCAGGACCAGAGTTTGAATCATCTGGGAGGACTCAGCAGCTAAGAAGCAATCCTGTTAGAGGAGAATTATTTTTTTTAATTTTTTATTTCTATTCAGCGTAACAGTATTCATTGTTTTTGCACCACACCCAGTGCTCCATGCAATCCGTGCCCTCTCCAATACCCACCACCTGGTTCCCCCAACCTCCCACCCTCCACCCCTTCAAACCCCTCAGATTGTTTTTCAGAGTCCATAATCTCTCATGGTTCACCTCCCCTTCCAATTTCCCTCAACTCCCTTCTCCTCTCTAACTCCCCTTGTCCTCCATGCTATTTGTTATGCTCCACAAATAAGTGAAACCATATGATAATTGACTCTCTCTGCTTGACTTATTTCACTCAGCATCATCTCTTCCAGTCCTGTCCATGTTGCTACAAAAGTTGGGTATTCATCCTTTCTGATGGAGGCATAATATTGCATAGTTTATATGGACCACATCTTCCTTATCCATTCGTCCATTGAAGGGCATCTTGGTTCTTTCCACAGTTTGGCGTGGCCATTGCTGCTATAAACATTGGGGTACAGATGGCCCTTCTTTTCACTCCATCTGTATCTTTGGGGTAAATACTCAGTAGTGCAATTGCAGGGTCATAGGGAAGCTCTATTTTTAATTTCCTGAGGAATCTCCACACTGTTCTCCAAAGTGGCTGCACCAACTTGCATTCCCACCAACAGTGTAAGAGGGTTCCCCTTTCTCCACATCCCCTCCAACACATGTTGTTTCCTGTCTTGCTAATTTTGGCCATTCTAAGTGGTGTAAGGTGGTATCTCAATGTGGTTTTAATTTGAATCTCCCTGATGGCTAGTGATGATGAACATTTTTTCATGTCTGATAGCCATTTGTGTATCTTCATTGGAGAAGTGTCTGTTCATATCTTCTGCCCACTTTTTTATATGATTGTCTGTTTTGTGTGTGTTGAATTTGAGGAGTTCTTTATAGATCCTGGATATCAACCTTTTGTCTGTACTGTCATTTGCAAATATCTTCTCCCATTCCGTGGGTTGCCTCTTTGTTTTCTTGACTGTTTCCTTTGCTGTGCAGAAGCTTTTGATTTTGATGAAGTCCCAAAAGTTCATTTTTGCTTTTGTTTCCTTTGTCTTTGGAGACATATCTTGAAAGAAGTTGCTGTGGCTGATATCGAAGAGGTTACTGCCTATATTCTCCTCTAGGATTCTGATGGATTTCTGTCTCACGTTGAGGTCTTTTATCCATTTTGAGTTTATCTTTGTGTACGGTTTAAGAGAATGGTCGAGTTTCATTCTTCTACATATAGCTGTCCAGTTTTCCCAGCACCATTTATTGAAGAGACTGTCTTTTTTCGACTGTATATTTTTTCCTGTTTTGTCAAAGATTATTTGACCATAGAGTGGAGGGTCCATATCTGGGTTCTCTACTCTGTTCCACTGGTCTGTGTGTCTGTTTTTATGCCAGTACCATGCTGTCTTGGTGATCACAGCTTTGTAGTAAAGCTTGAAATCAGGTAACATGATGCCCCCAGTTTTATTTTTGTTTTTCAACATTTCCTTAGCAATTCAGGGTCTCTTCTGATTCTATACAAATTTTAGGATTATTTGCTCCAGCTCTTTGAAAAATACTGGTGGAATTTTGATCAGAATGGCATTAAAAGTATATATTGCTCTAGGCAGTATAGACATTTTAACAAAAATGTTTATTCTTCCGATCCAAGAGCATGGAATGGTCTTCCATCTTTTTGTGTCTTCTTCAATTTCTTTCATGAGTGTTCTGTAGTTCCTCAAGTACAGATCCTTTACCTCTTTGGTTAGGTTTATTCCCAGGTATCTTATGGTTCTTGGTGCTATAGTAAATGGAATCGATTCTCTAATTTCCCTTTCTGTATTTTCATTGTTAGTGTATAAGAAAGCCACTGGTTTCTGTACATTGACTTTGTATCCTGCCAAGTTGCTGAATTGTTGTATGAGTTCTAGTAGTTTGGGGGTGGAGTCTTTTGGGTTTTCCATATAAAGAATCTTGTCATCTGCGAAGAGAGAAAGTCTGACTTCTTCTTTGCCAATTTGGATACCTTTTATTTCTCTTTGTTGTCTGATTGCTGTTGCTAGTCTAAGTCCTTGAAGAGGCTGCCCAGTTCTGCAAATGGTCACTATCGCCATCTTTTGGTGGCTTGAAGAACTGCCCCAAGTGTGCTCTGGGTGTTACCTTCATCCTCATCCTGGAGGTTGGGAAGTACAAATGCCTTTTGGGCAAAACATAAGAGACTCTTGAGCATAGGAAACAAACTGAGGTTTGCTTAAGGGAGTGGGATGGGGGGATGGGGTAACTGGGTGATGGATATTAAGGAGGGCATGTGATGTAATGTGCCCTGGGTGTGATGTAAGACTGATGACTCACTAACTCCTACCCCTGAAACCAGGAATACAATATATGTTAATTAACTGAATTTAAGTTAAAAAGCTAAAATTAAGAAATGTCTTTTGGGGGTGCCTGGGTGGCTCAGTGAGTTAAAGCCTCTGCTTTCGGCTCAGGTAATGGTCCCAGGCTCCTGGGATCGAGCCCCGCATCTCGGGCTCTCTGCTCAGCAGGGAGCCTGCTTCCTCCTCTCTCTCTGCCTGCCTCTCTGCTTGCTTGTGATCTCTGTCTATCAAATAAATAAATAAAATCTTTTATTAAAAAGTTAAAAAAAAAGAAATGTCTTTTGTAGTCGAGTATCAAGGCCTGTCATGATCCCTCCAGATCCCTCCAGACAGAGGGCCAGAGCTCATGGAAATTCTGGAGACCCAGGGAAAAAGGATATTTGGTTTTCAGTCAGAAAGATGAGAACTCAGGTTTAGGGAGAATGGCCTTCTATTTATATAAATTTTCTTTGATTTCAGACAACAGCATTTTGTCATTTTGGACATCCATATCCAGGACATATTTGGTTATGCTTATACCTAAGGATTTCATTTTCTTGGGAGTAAGTGTACATGGAATGCATTTTTAATTCAGGTTTCCATATGTTCACTTGTTAGTATATGGACATGTGATTGACTGATGTGAGTTCATATTGTATCCCATGACCTGCTGAACTCACCTCTTAGTTCTATGAGGTTTTGTAGATTGCTTGAGATTTTTTTTTCTTTAAGACTTTATTTATTTATTTGACAGTAAGACATCCCAAGTAGACAGAGAGGCAGGCAGAGTGAGTGGGGAAGCAGCTCCCTGCTGAGCAGAGAGCCCGATGTAGGGCTCGATCCTAGAACCCTGAGATCATGACCTGAGCTGAACGCAGAGGCTTAAACTACTGAGCCACCCAGGCGCCCCTGCTTGAGATTTTCTGCATAGACATTTATGTCATCTGCAGACAGGGACAGCTTTATTCTTCTTTTCCATCTTCTATCCCCTCATTTCTTTATCTGACCTACTGCAATGGCCAGAATTTCCATGGCTGAGATGACTACATGGTGAGAGGGGGCATCTCGGCCTTGCTCAGGATCGTACAGGGAAAACTCAGTTTTTGATCACTAACTATAATGTTAGCTGTATTTTCCTTTTAGGTGATCTTCATCAAGTCGAGGAAATTCCTTCTTTTTCCTTCTTAAAACTAAGAAATTCCTTCTTAAAAATACTCTTATTTTTATGAATTTCTTTTTGATCATGAGTGGGTATTGGAGGTTGTCATATGTTTTTCCAGTGTCATTTGATATGATTCTATGATTTTTTCCTCCTCACTTTGGTATGGTGGGATACAGTGATTCACTTTTCAACATTGAACCAGCCTTCTCTACCCGGAACAAACCTCACTCCCTCATGGTGCATAATTCTTTGCTGGATTCCATCTGCTTGCCTTGCCTATCCATCTACCTGGTCAGGAACTGGCCTCTCAGGACCCTCCCTTGCCCTGAGCTTTGCCTTTGTTCAGACCTTCTACCTTCCCTCCCTCAACTGCCTGAGGCTCTCACCCAACAGGAGACAAACCATGAGAGAATATGGACTCTGGGAAACAAACGGAGGGTTTTAGAGGGGATGTGGGTGGGGGAATGGAGTAGCCGGGTGATGGGTATTACCGAGGGCACGTGTTGTGATGAGCACTGGGTGCTCCATGCAACTAATGAATCACTGAGCACTACATCGAAAACTAATGATGTGCTCTACAGTGGTTAACTGAACATCATCATCATCATCATCATCATCATCATCATCGTAATGAAGGAGTCTGTTCCTGTCTTCTGTCACCCCATTCATTGAACTCTTATCCATTCCTCTTCATGACACTTCTTCTTATAAACCAATATTCTTTATTTAGTTTTCAAAACCACCCATTAGAATAGAAAGGCCTTGTTTTGTTGACTTTTTTCTTCCCAGCACCTAGAAACAAGACTGGTGCTACACAGGCTCTTGGTGAATATTTGGTGAGTGGTTGTAGGAAGGAAGGAATGTTGAGTTGAAAGCCTGCACTGGGGGTTCTCAGGAGGACAAGGTCATGGGAAAGCAGGCCTTCCCTCACCTCGGGCTCTCTGGTCACCTGGGCTGTGCGTGGTGCTCTCTGCTAGCAAGTTAGGAGTCCTAGGGCGTCCCTCCCCCATTCTCCCCAGCAAAACACCACGCACATTGACTTGTGTGTGTGATGGATCTCATTGCTTCATTCAAGTATTGAATGATTTGTTTGTTACCAGTTTTTGGCAATAAGGGGAGAGGAGACAGGTCTGGGTCCAGAAGTTCTTCCTCTCCTAGTCTGAGTGGTGTTGTCTCTGGACAGGATATGGATGGGCAAGGAGGGCTGAAGGTTGTCTTCATCAGGCTGACTCTGGGGCCCACAAATTTCCCACTGAGGCCTGTTGACCCAGAACACGGCACTGAGCATCATCAGAAACAGGGGCACCTTCAGCAGAATGAGGAGCAGGAAGTGGACGCTGCCGAGCAGGGACCTGTAGGAGGGACACGGTGACTGGCAGGAGTTTCTCCTGGACATGAGGCCTAGGCTCTGCCCCCACCTGCCTTTGTGCTCAGGTTCTGTGGCCTCAGAAATCACTATCAGCCTCAAAGCTGGATGGACCAGCACCGAGGGCCCCAGTCTCCTGTCCTCCAGTCAAGACTTGACCTTGAGCATCAGGACGCAGCAGACACATGAAGATGTGGTGGTGAGGAATGGAGAGAAAGGGAGAAGAGGAGACCCAGGAGGCTCTGGTTCCCAGAAACAGCTCTCTGAACCCACAGCCCTCAATACTCCCTTGCTCCTGCGGGGGCAGATTTTGAGGGTGAAATGCTCCCTTATAAAAGCTCTCCTCTCTCAACCTAGTCTGGACTCAGCTTCAATATGATCGTTGGAGAAGCTCTTCTGGTGAAACTGCTCAACAACCTCCATCAGCCTCCAGAAGTGACCACCCCAAGCTCAGCTCATGGCCAGTCCCCTCACCTGTGCATCCTAGTAACTGTCCCCACGCCAGCTCCTCACAAGTGCTGTGTCCCCTCCCCACACGGGACCTTTCTAGAAGCTCTCCACGTCTCCAGCCCCTCGCCTAGCTCTCAGCCTGTGGTTTGGCTGATGTCCTCTCCAAGGTCACACTGGGACCCTCTTGCACACCTGTTTGGCACCCTGGCTCATATCCTCTTTGCCCACTTGAACTCCGGGCCAACTGTGGACAGTCTTGGAACGGCCAGTGGCTTCCCCGATCCAGCTCCCTCACCTCTTTGCCTGAGGACTCTCTTTAGCTATAGGAAAGTTCGGCTTGCTGAGCAGAACAGGCAAGATATGGCACAGAATCCATGTCCCCAGGAGGACCCTCTGCCTGCCATACTCTTTCTCCAGATGAAGGGCCTTCCCTCATCACTCTGTGAGAGCATAAGAAGCCCCTCTGCCTGCAGTACTCTCTCTAGATAAGGGGACTTCCCTCATTTTCTGTGAGCAACAGGAAGCCCCACCATCTTCCCCACCGTGAGGGCAGATGGATGTTGATCACTGCCTCAGCTTCCTCAGGGCTGGTGGGACAGCTCTGGGGTGCGTCTACACAGCACATCTGAGGATACCCAGTGACGGAGCCCAGTTCCCCTGCAATGGCTCCTCCATCAAAGCCCGCTTCGTTGGTTTCCCCATCTTCCCTTTCCCTCCCTGTGCTTCCTGGGATCACCATTCCATAAGCTAATTGCACCTAAGTCCTTGTCTCCCCATCAGATTTGAGGAAATCCAAACCCAAACAGGCTCTTTGTCATTTGTTTTCAATGAATCTGGATTCCTTTCGTCATCCCACCGTCTTCCCGTGCACCCCATCTTCCTATCCATTAATGGGCAGTTGGCGTTACTGGCTTTATCAGGCTGATGCCACGTCCCCCCAGCTGCCCTCTGAGGCCTGTTCCCTCAGAGGACAGCACTGAGCATGCTCAGGACCAGAGGCACCTCCAGCAAGACCAGGAAGGAGAGGAAAGTAGATGCTGCTCAGTAGGGACCTGTGGGGGACACGGTGACAGGCCGTGAGCCCCATCATCAGGGAAATGCCCTGGTACCCTCCACTTTCCTTCTGTCCCTGTGTCTATGTCCTGAGGCCACAGCAGTCCAGAAGGAAATCAGGCCCAGGTGGGTCCATGCCTGGGACTGCCCCATCATCAGACCACTTCTGTGACCCTCAGGCTTACAATTGCCCTTGAGACAGGATGTGGACATGGAGAGGGCCTGGCTATTGGAGTGACATGAGGAGACCCCAGGAAGCAGTCAGGACCTGGCCTGGGAAAAGAGTTCTATCTAACCACTTCCCATGGGCAGTTACCCTGTCTATGGACTAGAAATCAGTGCTGGGTTGCTTGTCTAATGTCTGCTCTCCCATCAGCAGTATTTCCCATGAGGGAATGGAGTGTTTGCTTTAGTCCCAGGGTCCATCTGGCACCTGTGTGGTCCCTCCAAACCTTACCCTTGAGATTCAAAGGTTAATGCTGGAGGGAATGAATGACCCCACTCACCTCTTCTCTCCCTCTGTGGCTTCGTCTTCAATAGGATGACTCTCCAGTGAGGGCCTGGGAGGGAGCAGGGAAGAGAGCTCAGGGGCCTCCAGAGCACCTGACCTGGGCTACGTCCTGAAGTCCCCCTTTGCACAACACTGGCACTTGTCTTCCCTGTCCGTGGAGCCCGATTTCTGTAGATACCTGAGTACCGGCTCCCCCAATCCTACAAGTCTCCAGGGAAATGTCCTCTCACTGGCCAGGACTCCCTGATCATTGTGTATGGAACAGCAGTCCCGCCCCCATCGCTCCCCACACATGCTCTCTCTGACCCATCTGTTCTCAGGTTGAGTTGTCCACGGTGTGAATTTCCCAACTTTTGTCAGAGCAGGTCTGTGTCTCGGTGGCCCAGGGCTGTATCCCTAGAAGGGCGCCCAGCACACGGTAGGACTTTCACCATTAGGTGTGGAATTGGTAAATAGTGTGGGACCGAGGCCACGACCGTCACACCCACACAGCTCTGTCCTCCGTGTTCCCCAGAAATCACCCAGGTGTCAAAGGTCTCCAGCTGCTAGCCCCTTACCCAGGATGTTGGCTGGAAGTGGAGGACTCCTGCCGGGTCGCAGTGTCCCATGTGGGGGCTGGCAGTGTCCTGCGAAGACCTGGAGTGCTGGGGGGCCTCTCAGAGCTGGGGGTTGCAGTGCTGGCTGGGGGGGAAGCACACGTCAGGCCTGCTGTCCTCCCCCCGGGCTCTCCCACTCTCTGGCAGCTGTGTGGCTCCGACTCACAAAGTCCTGGTCACTCAGGCCATCTGGACAGGCGTCTGGGCTCCACATCCGCCCACAGCCACACCCAGGCCTGCCTGGAACTCCAGCCTCCCCGGCCCTCTCTGCAGGTGCACCCTGGCCAGGTGGATGATTTCAGAGGCAGAGCATCTCCCAGCAGGGCATGGGGCAGTGTGTGGAAGGAGCTCAGGGCTCTGGGCTCAGCCGCCCGCCCCTGGTTTCTCCTGGCAGAGGATGGGCTGAGCTTTCCTCTGCAGAGATTGATCCAGAGCTGGGGGTGGAGGCCGGGTCCTCAGGCAGGGCTGATGTCTGGAGTGAAGACCATGAAACAGGGCGCTCAGCAGAGTCCCCACTGAATGATGGATCCTGCACTCAGTGCACTCAGCCCCCGAACTCTAAGCCAGAACTGTGAACCTGGGTGGGCACAGGACGGAAGGATAGACAGAAAGAAAGATCTAATGAGACAGACACACACCCGGGGGACCACACAGAAAGTTCCCTGTCCTGAAGCCAACTGGACAAAGGTCTTTCTCTTCCAAGCGGTGGTGTCCGAGGACACTCAGCTCCTCGCTGTTAAAAAGGAACCCACAAGGGGCCTGGGAGGGAAATGCCCCGTGTGAGAGAGACGACCTGCAGGAAAGACGTCAGAGGAGCTAGGGCCAACATAGAATAAGAACACAAGACAAAAACCTGAACACTCAAAAGGATGAACTCCATGTGGTTCTCAGGAAACAAAAACAGGGTTCTAGTAAAGAATTCTTTGCAGCACATAGAATTATATTTGGGGCCAATGGACCGGGCCATTTTTTCCCCTTCTTTGTCTGAGGGGAGCTTTCAGTGGTTTCTCTGGGTTCCCTCCGGTGGAAATGATGGAAGGAATGGGGAGGGTCAAGCCAAAAGAAGGGTTGTTCCCCAAATGTTCACAGAAGCTCCAAATCAGGGTACTAGGGCTCCTTCTTGGGCCCCTGTCGAGGCTGGTGCAGACACTCAGGATCACAGCTGTGAGGCTGGTGTTCAGGAACCATCCAGGACACAGTGACGTCCTGTTAGAGCCCCGGGGTCCTGGGCAGCCAGTAAGGGAGAGGAGTGAATGCCCTAGGGTCCTGTTCCCCATTTGGGAGGACAGAGAGAAGTCCAGAAAGAGACTTGGGTCCACTCCAACATGGACAGGGCTTTGTCAGGGCAGGAAGGCAGCCAGACATCACCAGACCTGGGCCATTCCCGCTGCCAACCCTGGGAGAGTTTTAGGCATGAGAGTGTGTCAGGGCACACAGAGACACCTAGGTCCACCAGAGGTGTGCATGTGCTTATATGAGTATGCAGACAACACAACCCCTGCACACAGAAATGTACACCCACTTAGACACACACGGACATATACACAAACAGACACAGACACACACACACACATGCACACACACAGAGGCTCATCCCCTGTGCCTTGTGTCACCCATCCATCCTCACCCCACTCTCTTCCCACATCCCACTGCTTTCTTGCCAGGGTTGGGGTGATCAGCCCAAGTCTCAGGCAACCCTGGTGCTGGTGTGGGCAGAGGGTTGTGCAGAGCTCACCTGGGGTCACAGACAACACAACTTGGAAGGTGCGGTCGAACAAATATCCTGGTTTCCCTGATGTATCAATCCCGCACCAGTATATCCCGGCATCATCCTCTGTAAGGTTCTCCAAGGTCACTGTGAAGGTGAGGTTTGCAGGATGGTCCCTGATGGACGCACGGTCCTTCCTCCCTTTTCTGTCTGCCCCTTCGGTCTTTAGCGTCCTCCTCACACATGGGTTCTTGCACCAGTATTTGGGAGTCTCTCTGAATTCCTCCTCGTACTGACACTGCACGCTCATGGATCCCCCCACGGTGCCCGTCACAGAGGGGGGGCCATGCAGAGACCAACAACCTGGAAAACACAGCCGAGTGTGACCCTTCACCAGAGGGATCTGGGTCAATGGGATCTCAGGTCAAGTTGACTGTTGAGTCCCTGAAGGGCCCTCAGGGTCTGGAGGAGGCCTTGGCAGGAGACAGGTCTTCCTGAGATCAGAAAGAAGGAATGTAGCTCCTTTTCTGGAGTGGCACAAGGTGAGTGTGTCCCTGATGTGTCTGTGTGTGTGTGATGCACGGAGACGTCATTTCTGACTGTGACACTACAGTAATGCTGGTCACAGGCCCCACTCTAGTCAGGGCTGCTCTTTCTGGTACAGTGGACACGACTCACCTGCTTTATGCACTGAATTCTCCTGGTGGTTGCTGAGACAGTGCTGGTCGATTGGAGAATCTTCTCTGCTCTCCTTCCTCCTTCCCACGTCCTCCTCCCCTCCCCTGCCCCACAACCCCATCCCCCTCCCCCCCCTCCCTCCCATTCAGGATAGACTTCCCTGCCCAGGCTCAGCCCCACTCACCTAGGACCTGCAGAAGGAGCAGCGCTGCAGGCAGCCACGGCCTCCTGTCCCCTGGGGTCATGTCTGCAGCACAGACGTCACCCACAGCAATGCCAGGCTCCTGAGGGGGACAATTTCAAGTCTCTCACAGAGGGTCCTCTCTGCAGTGCCCACTTCTTCTTTCTGGGTCCTCTTTGCTTCCTCGTCCTGCCTGTGTTTGTTCTCAAAATCTTCTTCCACGCTGACTCAAGCTGGTTGGGGTACAGGAAGCTTGGGGACAGAAGCAGAAAAGGCTGAGGCAGAATCCTGGACCTGGTGCCCCAGATCCACTCAGTCCCGATGACAAGACAGCTCCTGGTCCAGGACTGGATTGGGATTGCTGTCCCCTTCCACAGCCAACATCTGCTCCTCTCACTGTCCACACTTGCCCCATACAATGGAGCAACACTAGAGTATTTCCTCCTCAGGGGAATGTCCCCACCCTGTGACGTGACACTTCTTGTGGTCAGGATGGATCATGTCCAGCGTGGAGCCCCCAGCAGCCCATCATCTCAGGCATCGGTCGTGACCTCAGTGGTGTTAGGATCCCACAGCCTACAGCTCCAAACACCTACAGTCCCCATGGGACCCCTGCTCTCCTCTGGCCACACAAGTTGTAACTGCGACCTCTGATGCTTTCAAAGGTTCCATTTGGGTTCTGGGTTCTGAACCAGGGTACTAATCCCCCAGGCTTGCTTCCCTCCTGTGTGTTTGCCTGATCTCAAGAATGGAAAGGGAACAGCCATCACCAACCCCATGTGCACCTCACTTTGACTCCTTCATGTTTGGAATGTCCACCCTACTGTGACTCTCAGGGCAGAGGACTGCCAATGGACAAGAGGGTCCAGAGATTGAAGGAGCTGATGAGACGTTGGGGACATGTGAAGCTGAGACTGGACTTCTCCTCTCCATCCAGTGGCACAAAGGGCCATTGTGTAACAAGAGGGTGGTCTGACAAAGCACTGGGGGCCGGTGTCCCTTTTGGGTTCACATGGTGACCATGGGCCTCTTCAAGGCATAGAGTTGGGGGATGGTCCTTACTAGGAGGTGGGGAGGTTGGTCTGTCCTAACTCAGAGTGTCTTATTCTCATGACATGATAGATTTGGGGTGAGTTTATGCTGGAAATGGTAGGGAGGTGGGTCACAGTGCAGAGTCTGACACTTGCCTGGGTTATGCCAACTCCTCAAACTTGTCAGAACAACCAGGTCGATCAATTTCCCCCTAAACACTCTCTGCCCAGATCTGCTCCTCCTCCACACTATCTCTTCCTGATCTAAGGCCACAGTATTCCCAGAGTTATTGCAACCAGACCCTGTCATCCGGGATTCCTCTCTCTGCCTCTCCCCATTAATATTTCTTCTAGCATCTCCATCTGCCCATATCCTCTCTTCCCCCTGGCATTACAGCAATCCTCTCTCCTCTCAGTACAATGGTGACATCCCTGTCCTTCCCAGTCCCTTCATGCTTTGTCTTCCCTCTGTTCCACTCATCAGCAAGAGAGCTCTTCAACAAAACTCAGAAGTAGCCAGTACACTCTTGGTCCCATGCCCTTCAGATGAAACCCCCTTTCCTTGCTTGGCTTACATGGTCTGAGTGGCCCAGCCACTGCTGGGTTCTGCATTTCTATCTTGCTCCCCTTCCCCAATGTGCCCAATGCTCTAGCCATGGAGTCCATCCTTCCCCTTAGCATCTCTTTGTCCCTCTCCTTGGATCCTCTGCCCACCTCTTCTCACTGCTTCTTCCTTCTTACTCTTTAGATTGCACCTTGGATGTACTCCCTTAGAAAGGTCTCCCTGAACACTCTTCCTACGATCACCCTGTTGTCTCAATCACCAACCCCTGTTTTCTGCATAGTTCACTGAATCTTGTCATGTGTTTACTTTTGGTGGTCTCTATGCATCTCCACCACTGGGATAGAACTCATATCATAGCAGCATTCAGGGTCTGCTTCATTCTTCACACAAAGACTCAGTGACCAGTTGCACCTTGTGACCAAAGGTTGGCTTCTGATAACTGTTCACAGAATGAGTGAAAGAGTGATTGAGTTAATGGACATGGAATTGGCTGCAGACATGGCCCTAGACAACTGTGGTCCAACGAGATGCAATACCTATGGTGGTACAACAAATTCCCCGAGAACTTAGTGGCTGAAAACGTATTTATTATCTCACACTTGCTGAGAGTCACAAATCTGAGAGTGGCTTATCTGGGTGGCTGTGGCTCAGCGTGACTCTTTCACAACATTGTGGTCAAGATGTTGATGAGGCTATACTTATTAGAAGGCTGGACTGGCTTGAAGGATCTGCTTCAGAGATGACACATCCACTTGGGGGTTAGCAGGAGTCCTTACCTCCTCGCCCAATACAATTGCTCGAGTGTCTTCATGAGGTCACATCTAGATTCTCCCGTGGAGAGTGACCCAAGAAGAGCAAGGCACAACATATTTTTGACTTATCCTTGGAAGTCATGTCCCATTGCTTCTGCCATATCTGGGGACCACACACCCACCCTGACACAATATAGAGGACTCCGGCCAAGGGATGTGGAGATCTGGTCTGAGTGGAGGCTTTGAATGGATATCATTTCCTGAAACGTCAGTAAGCTGTGTATATAGGATATGTGCAATTTCCTGTTCTCGTGTAACACTGCATAAAAATTTAAAAAGCAGAATCCAAACCATGAAAGTAGACCTCTGAAACTTTGCTTGATGTCTGAGGGGAGATTTTCTGTTGATTGGTCTTTTTTCACATAACGAAGAGTTTACATAATCTCCCACACCCCAGTTACCTTGCCAACAGCTCAGTCAACAAAATGACCAGAAGCTTATCATAAGTGATGATGGCAGGATTTGAACCCAGATTCCTCTGGCACAACTCCTCAAGTGTCTTTCACTCAGACCATGACTCTGCAAAGACACACAGTGGCCAAGAGCCAGCAAGAGGGAGAAGCAGGAAGCAGAATGAGAGGGTTTGTTAGGCAGCTGGTGGCCATTGTAACACATATTGAGAAACTTGACAGGGCTCAGGGTTTCTTCAGTCTTCTCAACCTGCCACCTTCTCTTCCTTCTCTCTTTCACTTCCCGGTGCATCTTCCTTTTCTAAAAACTTCGGTTTCTGCAGCTCCTGGCTGAGCTGAGAAGTTGGAAGACCCACCAGGTGCACAGAGCAATTACAACAGAAATTTGAGTTCAGGTTTGAGTCCGCGGTGTGGATGGTTCACATTATGGGTTAACTGTCCACGGGCGGCTCAGATGGAAGATGATATTGGGTGTGTCTGGAAGCATGTTTCTGGAGGAGATGAGCATTTGAATCCATGGACTCAGTGAGGTAGATGCCCTCTCTGGGCTGGGTGGACCTCATCCCATCCAATCTGTTGAGGGTCTGAGTAGAAGTGGATGACCAGCAGAGGAAGGAGGAATTCGCCCTTTGCTGCCTGATGGCTTCAGCTGGGACATCCGTCTTTTCCCACCCTCTGTACTCCGGGCTCTCAGGCCCTTGAACTCAGAATGGATTTCACCACCAGCTCTCTTGGGTACTCCTCCACTCCCATCACCATGGGAGCCTATTCCTTTAATGAGCTCTTCATAGGCATGCTTCTCCTACTGGTTCTGTTTGTCCAGAGAACCCTCACTGACACACGTGTGTATTTGACCCTTGTGGCAACTGACTTCTTCAACCCCAAGCCTGCACACGAGGACCTCATTCAAGAAGATCCCTGTGAGGACTCAACAGGAAGATCCAAAACCTCATCAATTCCTCTCACCTGAAGCGTGGCCTCCCAGGACATCTCCTAGAGTTGATGGAATGTAGGTGTTTCAAGGAGCTGCTACAGAGAAACACAGAGGAAACACCCAGGATGTCAGCATGCTGAGCATGGAAGAGCATGGGGACCATCCCCACATGAACTGGGTCTGCGTTTTGCAAGGGAAATAGTGATGAAGCAAAGGCCAAGTTAGAGGCAAATGTTACTGGCTTTCCTTGGGCTGGAATCAGAAGTATCTGCTTTACTCCTCTTTGGCTTTAGGGTCTCTGTGAGACTCAGAGACGTCTGGGAGACTTTTGTTTTGTGAAGCTGTCAGCGTCTAAAGAAAAGAGGGATGTCAAAGTAGGGTTACAAACATTCTGGGCTATTTGAGAGTGAGAGGAGTTAAGTGCTTGGCTTGGGTCCCGATGTTAGCCAGGAGGATGAAGAGCTCCCCGGCCAGCCTGCACCTGGAGCCTCAGGTGTCCCCAGTCTTTGACAGTGTCCCCATGGGCACCAGCTTATCTCTAGGACACCAGGAGAGGTGTGTGCCCATGGCTCGTGGGCGTGTGCATGAATCAACTTTTGGACATGAAAGTGGTCATAGGGCATAATTGATTGGTCTAGAAAAATGATTCCTGAATTACAAAGTTAATTCACTCGTGGTTGGTTGGAATAAGACACATGTAGAAATAGCAGGATGAACATTTAAGTCAGGGCAGCCCTGTGATTGTATTAATA